TAGCTTCAGTAATTACTTCCTCCAAACCATCAATGTGACTTTTAGACCCCATTCCTACAAGACTGCTCAAAGACGATCTGCCATTAATTAATTAATCTAACTCTATTAATGGACTACATACTACAGAATTTTAAAGTGGAAGTTGTAATTATCCATTGTTTTCACCTGATGGCAGAGCTACTGGGACCCGCCCATCTGGTGCCAAAAAACAGCAATCTGGCCATTTGCCCTCCAGCCTTCCATTAAACATCTTTGAGTTTAACTTCCAGAAAGTTGTCGTGCTCTTAGTTGTGTTTGTTTACAGGTGACAGAAGAGCTCAGAGTACAGCACCAACATGTGAACACGCCTCTCAAATCTCAAATCACACCAATCACCCCTTCTATCATGTAGTACATGTCCAAATCAACATAGTTCAAGAATTACTTATGGTAGTTTGTTCAAGCTAGCTACCTTTGTTTTAACTAGTCTTGTTCTTCTTGTTCCCATGCAGATGAAAACACATGTAGCAGTCCATACTATGAAAGTTCTCATCCTGGCAGCAGTGTAGGGTGAGCGATTCTCTACAACGTACATGAAGATGTCACTGAACTGGAGCTCTGGGAGAGACGTCACAACTTTCAGGGTTTTAAAGAAAGCTGCTGGGGCAGAGTATGGATCACAAGTCCCCAGAATTCATAGTTTCTCTTTACATTTTGTTTTTTCTCCATGGATAGATGATCCAAGTTGTCTTGGCTCAAGACAAGTAAAAAACACTTTGTCACACAGTACTACTGACTACAGACTACTGGCCATCACGGTGGAGTAAGTGACCGAAAACTATGGATAGGCCAATCTCCAACCTTCCTTTCATATCAAACATCCTTGAAAGAGTAGTTGTCAAACAGCTAACAGATAATCAGCAGAGGAATGGTTTATTTGAAGAGTTTCAGTCAGGTTTCAGAGCTCATCACAGCACAGTGAAGGCCAAAGGAGCTTGCAAAGAAACTGGGAGAACCTTCACAGACAGCTTTATTGAAGGTTACAAATGATCTTCTTATGGCCTCTGACAGTGGACTCATCTCTGTACTTGTCCTGCTAGACCTCAGTGCAGCGTTCGATACTGTCGACCATAATATCCTATTAGAGCGATTAGAACATGCTGTAGGTATTACAGGTACTGCACTGCAGTGGTTTGTATCATATCTATCTAATAGACTCCAGTTTGTGCATGTAAATGGAGAGTCCTCTTCACACACTGAGGTTAATTATGGAGTTCCACAGGGTTCAGTGATAGGACCAATTCTGTTTACATTATACATGCTTCCCTTAGGAAGCATCATCAGAAGACATAGCATACATTTACACTGCTATGCAGATGACACCCAGCTCTATCTGTCCATGAAGCCAGATAACACACACCAATGAGTTAAACTGCGGGAATGTCTTAAAGACATAAAGACTACGAGCTTGGCTGCAGAAGAGAAACTTAGGGTTGTTCTTGTTTTCTTTAATGAGTGATGAATAGTAAGATGGTCTAGCTTCATGCAGGGCTTTTTTATAAAGCAACAACTATTTTTCCAGGTGAAATGATGATCTTCTAAACTGGTGACACTTAACTGCTTTAAGTTGCACATTCAAGATTCTTTATTTGTCACTTGCATAGTTATACAAGTATAACAAGCAGTGAAATGTATCCTGACACGCTCCTCAACTGTACAAAAGGGAGAGAACATTATATATATTTAGTGAATATATACAGAGTCATTTGAGAGATGACAGTGAATTAGTTCCATCCTGAAATTAAGAGCAACTCTCTAAATTAAGAGAGTTTTAGAGCATTTTTTGAAAGTCAATGACTTAAATGGAATATATTCCCGACTATAGTGTAAGCAGAGGTGAGGATAGAAAGAGTGCAATGATAATTGAATTGGGGGAGGGTCAACCTGTTATCAGGTTAAACACGCAAAGGGAGTTAAGTTTCATATTATAATACACCAATGAAGGAATCCATTTGTGGCCTTCCTCATTGTCCAGCCTCGTCATTGCTATACAAATACCTAACAAAGGTGTCACAGCACAAATGGTCATAGCCAAGAAATCAAGTATTCAGCAGTCTGTAAGAATTATTTCTTTCAGTATGATTGGGCCTAACGCAGCACACATGTAACTGCTCACTGTTTCTGTTCAGTAAATGACAGAATGAGTGAATTATTGTAACTCAGTGTTTGATCTTTAATGAACAGTCACTATTTTTACGGCTTGTTTCATTGAACAATTGCAATGATTATCTGATGAATTCTTTCTTTTTTTAGGTTTAAATGGACTCACTGATCTTTACAGCAGCAGGAATATCACAACTGGTTTCTCAATATAGCTCTTGTCTGGTTCCTAACAGAAATACGGCACTAAAAATTCTTAATTGAAATGTATGGAAGAATGGCAAAGCTGGTAAAAGTAGAACTTTAAAGGGAGAAATGCATTTGCAGGTTTAACATCCTGGTGTTTAAATAGATTTTGATATTTTAAAAAGTTGTTCAGGGGTGATTAAAGATGGCTGCTAAGTGGCGGGGTTTGCTGCTAGAAGGACTTTGGCAATAATCAAAGACTCACATAAATATGATGAAGATCAAGACACTGAATGAAATTATAGTTTCAAAAAGATTTAAAATATCATGCTCAAATCAATCTCAGTGTTTATATTGATATTCCTGCACCACCTCTATGTGTTATATAGAACTTGCTATTGTACAGCTCATAGCCTTAATGCTTCCTCTATGTGACCATCTAGCACTACTGCCAGCATAGACTAAGTGGAGAGCTGCTCACTCATTTAGTGCTGAGTTGAATCATTACTGTAGAAACTGAGGCTGATTACTGAGAGCATCAGGCTGCAAATGTAGCTACACATTCAAACAATTTCAAATTATTTTAGGTCTTAAACTCGCTTTGTAACTGTTCAAAAAGAAGGCCAGTTCTAAACTGTTCAAAAAAAAAAAAAAAAAAAAAAGTCCACTCAAAGAGCACATTTCCCACCAAGTCCAGAGCATCCATCCATCCATCCATCATCTTCATCCGCTTTATCCGAGGCCAGGTCGCGGGGGCAGCAGCCTAAGCAAATAGGCCCAGACCTCCCTCTCCCCAGCCACCTCCTCCAGCTTATCCGGGGTTCAGAGCACCAGTTACAAATTCTAAAGTTTTATGGATCTGTGATAACTGCAATCTTCCTTTCTCTTCCTGTTCTGCACTACGTTCCATGCTAATGCTGCTGACAGACAGAAATTAAACTGCTGCAAACACACGTGTCAGAGTGGGCGTGGGTTTAGGAAGATTTTTGTTTGATTTGACAAGATCTTCACTGAAATTAAAGAAAACATGAAATCAAAATATGAATGAAGATGCTTTGTTTCATCATTTAAGTACCATCCACACGAATCACAGGGAAACACTCATTATTTGGAAAATCAACAGATGCATAAAATACTTTTATTCTTAGTTATGTCACTAATTATGAAGCAAAGAATTTATATTTGACATTTATCAAAATAAAGTCAAATATTATCTACTGTATCTGATTATTTTCAATGATAATTGAGTAAATGGTGTTATAATTAGATATTGCAGAGGCATAAATAATATCTAAACTTTACAGTCATATATCTGACTATTTAATAAAAAATAATGAGAGATTTTATAATAAAACTCGATAATTACTGATTACACAAAATGTATGAAAAACCCAAAACAAATAAACACAATAAAAATAGAACTATTCCCAATAAAATACAATAAATCAAATCACACACTCTCCAGATTTTTACCAAACATTACAGAAAACAAATCAGAAAAGATTAAAATGACTGATTCAACTTACAGTGCAGTACAGAGCAAAACTAACAACTTAAATGAAAATCCTGGTACTTAAAGAGCTCAGCCCAGGAAAAATTATTTGATTCATAATTTCAAAAAAAAGACAAGAATAAAGGTACCTGATCACCAAATGCGTGTCGTCTTTCTTTGTGATCAAACATTTAATACCCCCGCCCACACAAACATACAATGATTACATTTGAATGACAAAGTCACACTGATAACTGTTCTGTTCTTTACATATCTGAAAATAATTTGTTTTTCCTGCATCATTGCAACTTATACTCTGTTTCTATTTTGAAGTCAATTATGATAAAAACATTTATTTGCTGGAAAAACACTGACCATAGCTTCCACTCTGCCAGGTGGGAGATTAATGAGCTGAGACAGAGTGGAACATGCTGGTTCCACGTGGGTCTTTTAGTAACTAATACCTATTCAGTCTTTGGAGTTAGTTTAACCAGTCAGAAGCTTTGGTAATGTTGGGATAGTGACTTGTGGTTTAATGGTGAGACTGGAGTCCGACACTGTGTTTAAGGCAGGTTAGACGCACCAGAATTATTTCGCTGTTGCGAGGAAATCCCAAACATTTAAAACGTGCAGAACACATCGGTGCTTCTTTAACGTTTTTCCCAGTACAAATGAAAGAAAAACAACTGAAATCATTCATTTCTCGTCATAAAATGCTGCAGGCTGATGCGTCACTGACCTCCTTACTTAAGAGTTTTTGAATCAGTTCACTTAATTGTTGTTCATGTTCTTCCTGTAGTTCGTCCTTGTCCTCCTCAGTTTTTGCGTTCCTCATCTCTTTTTCATGTTTTTCCACTAGATTCTTGATCTTTCTCAGGTTTTCGCTCTTCTTGGTCACACGTTTGACTAAGTCGTTCATTTCCTTCACGTGTTCTTCCCGCTGAGCATTTAATTCATCCATGTGTTTCTTTTGGGATTCGTTGAACTCTTCTGCTTTCTGTCTGGCTTTTCTTTCATAGCTCTTCTTTAGGTCCTCCAGTGTTTTCTGATGATTGTTCTCTGTTATTTCCATTTCTCTTCTTATTTGTTCCTCTTGTAATTTGTTGTTTTCGTATTTTATTTTTCTTGTTTGTAACTTTCCAGCAGTTTGTCGATTCTTTCTTCCTCCTCCTGTCGTCTCTTTTCATCTTCTTGTCTTTGTTTCTCTCGCTCTTCTCTTCGTTCTTCTCCCAGGCTTCTTGTTTCGTTGCATCTCTTCTCTGGTCTCTTCCAGCTGTCTGTCGACACTTTCCTTTGCCTCTTTTTCCAAATGAATTTGTCTGTCCAACTTTTCAAGTTCTTCTTTGAATTGTTGTCGATATCTTTCTTCTCCAGTGTCCTTTTCCTTTTCCTCCTTTTCTCTCATTTCTTCTTCTTTTTTCTTCTTCTCTTGTTCTTCCTTAATTTTGTTCATCATTTCCTCGAGTTCTTCAGCTTTCTGTTTTCCCTCCTTTTCTGATTTTTCTTTCTCTTCTGCCATTCTTATTTTCATTGCTTTCATTTCTTGCTTATGTTTTCTTTCAATCTCTTCCTTTTCCTTCTGCATCTCTTCTTCCTTCTCCTTTAAATTCTTCTGCATCTCCTTCCTTATCGCAGCTTCAGCCTCTTGCAGCATCTCATTGGTGTAGAAGCTTCCTCCATTGTTCTTCACCATGGTGTCAATCTTTTTTATCAGCTCACTGACTTGTGTGCAGTTTTGTTTGTCAGAGTTATTGAACACATGGTATCTTCCTCCACAGTTAGAGATCAGCTTCTTAAAGGAATCATGACATTTGTTCTTGATATAATCATCAATAGACTCTCCCTGACGCTCCAGATCATCTCCTCTTGTAAAAAGAATGATGGTGAACTTTTCTGAATTCTTCCCAAAGAATCTTTTAGTGAGCCTGATCGTTTCTCTCTCCTCTGCTGTGAATCTACCAACCCCTATCACCACCAAGAAGACATGTGGTCCTGGAGCCAGCTGGCTGATACATTTCACCAGCTCTTCTTGAACTTCTTCATTGGACAGAGCTGTGTCAAACAGACCAGGAGTGTCGACCACAACAACAGGACGACCGTCCACCTCACCCTCTGCCTTCGTACAATATGTTGTGACCGACATTTGACTTGATGCAGCTATAAACTTGTCGTTTCCTAAAATCGTGTTTCCTGTAGAGCTCTTTCCACAGCCGGTCTTCCCAATCAGCACAATCCTGAGACAATCTGAGTCTTTTCCTTCAACTTCATCACCTAAAACATGAAAACAATCAGAGTTAAAACTTGTATACTGCTGGATTAAAACTCTTTGGGTCACTGAACACAGAAAAATATTAAAATTCTAAAGTACTTACAAGTCATCAGGTTCGTCTTGAGCTTCTCAAGTTCATCATGTTGCATCTGTATGGATTTATCTTGTTGTAAGACTTTGTCCATCTGTGCATGTAGAAATGTTGTCTTTGTATAACAGTGTGGTTTGTTTGTGGCATCACTAATTTTGTCCACAACCTCAAACATCTTTGTAATCTGCTGTTTGTCTTTGATGTTGAGAACCACATGTCTTTGTCCGAACGTCTGAAGAAGCTTCTGGATGTCTTTGTCTATACTTAATATATTTTCAGCAGCTGGATCTGTAGGATCTGAGCCCACAGTGAACAGAATCATGGTGAAGTCATTGACTCGAGAGCTGAATGTGTCCTGGATGGTCTCTAACTCTCTCTTGTCTTCATCAGTGAGGGGAGCCACAGGTAGGACCAGGATGAAGGCATGGACACCCTCAGGATCACAGAGGGAGATACACTTGAATGATTCCTCCATCACTGCCTCCTGAGGTTTTCCATACAAGGCAGGCAGCTCCACCAGGGAAACCCAACGTCCACACACCTCTCCCTGATGTTTAACACACTCTGATGAGTTGGAGGCTGAATGAAGCTCAGTCTGACCTAAAATGGCCTTGGCTGCTGACGTCTTCCCTGCTGCTCTCCTCCCAAACAGAACCAGGTTCAGACTGGACTTCAGATTGGGTTTAGCTTCTTCTTTTAACATTAGATATTTTCCCCAGTTTTTAGTCACCATCTCATTCATTTCTTCCATCAACTCTGAGGAATCTGAGAAGGACTCTTTCCTGTCAAAGTTAATGAACTGCTGCCTTTGTTTGGATTCTTCAATGAGTTTATCCACTGACTTATTCCCTTCCTGATTATGCGTTCGGATGACGATGGAGTGATTAAAAGCATCTTGACCAAACAAGCTCAGGACCAAATTCAGAGTCTGTCTGTTCTCCTCAGTGAAATCAGAAGGTTTGACTAACAGCAGCAGAACGTTTGGTCCAGGAGGACAGAGACTCACACAGCTCTTCATCTCTTTAAACAGCACTTCCACAGGCAGACTGAAGATGTTGGGTGTTTTTACAACTGTGGGAGGTTTCCTGTTCCTCTCTCCAGAGGCAGCACCAGATTGCTTTCCTTCAAAACCTTCAGACTCTTTTTTTCCCAACGAGGAGCTTTTCCAGGGCTGATTTCTTGTCATTACTTTTTCCAAACAGCATTATCCTGAGTTCACGTGCTGCAAAAAACAATGTAAATTGCCTCAAAAATTATGAAACACATATTTATGTCACATTCTATTAAATAGTTTGTAATTGTTAATCATTTCACTTGAGAAATAATCACTTACAAATTTGTCTTAAAACAGGTTGCTTAGTGATAGCGCTGGCAGTTTCACTTTCAAATATGGTTTCTTGATTAGTTGAAAAGCCATATCAGCTCTCTATTTAGGAGGATAAGCTCATGCAGATGTTTTAAAGGCACTACCGTGATTTTGTTGGGCAGAGGTGGCAAAAGTACAAACTTGATTTACTTAAGTAGAAGAAATGAAACAACTTATTTACTCAAAAGTGGAAATGTACAGGATGTCAACGCTAGCCCTTTATATTATAACATATGATAACCTTGCTTTGGGGCCTCTGAAATACACCCAGAAACTACAAGTGGCTCAGTCAATAGGGGACCTACCATTAACAGGTGGGACTGATATGACTTGACCTACAAGGCTATTCAGGTTTGGTTTATCTTATCAGGGTTACGAGGAAAGACACCTGGACAATTTCTAGGTAGTTAGTACTCCAGCTGGTGCAGGGGTGCAGCTGGGTAAGACCCATAGGACCAGAGATTAGGACCTTTTATCAGAGAACCCTCCCCCCAAAAAAAGGTTCCTCTCCAAGGGTTGTTGGCCCCGCAGATTGGCACCGGACTGTCCTTTGTCACTGATTCTGTTTATAATTTTTTGGACAGAATATTTAGGTGCATTCAAGGGCTACACACTTATTAGGTGCTGGGATCAATGGTCTCAGGGTATAATCTCTGATTTTACCTCTGATCTTACCGAATTTCCCACCCGAGGGATTAATAAACTTTTATCTTATCTGATTTTTGATTTTGTTGATTTTGCAAGGGACTGACTTCCAGTTTGCACTAGTGTGGTGTGACACAATTAGGATGAGAATTAGCACTTCCAAGTCTGAAATGTCAAGAATGTCACAAGACATAAAGATTGGGATGGCCACTAACTTTTTGTCATGGTCCGTGGGAGTGCCTGGAGGGGGTTTTCCTTGTGTGGCTGCTGAGCCATCCCTTTGGGGCAGGGACTTCAGTGCTTCAAGTGAGCCTCAGCTGCGAGCAATCAGCGGGAGACCTACTTCAGCTGACTCAACCGGCCCCTCCTTGCCAGTTTGTTCTACTCTTCTTGGTGGTAAATTACGTTTCCCTTTGTGGTTTTCCTTGTGTGATTTATCTGTTGGAGTAATTCCTGTCTTCCCTTCATTCAGCGGAGTTTCAACCCTGGCTTCACCTTACTGGGACAGTCCCTGTCTCCCAGCCGGCTCGCCTGCCTGCCCTCTAACCTCCACGCTTCAGCTTGAGACCCTCCAGAAGCTTCCCACGGACCTCTCTCCCCTCTCCTCAGTGAAACGAACCATGACTGGCACAGTAAGGCGAACTATTCTCCAGTTTCTAGTTATCAAGCTCTAGTTTTCTCTTTCGATTTTAACTACCTCTCCATCTGTTACAGAATATCCCTCGCCTCTCTGACCTCTTCCGCGTTCCTGCCACTAGCCTTTTGGGCCCCTCATCACTTTTGGCCACCTTTTCAAATAAATATCAGAATCAGAATCAGAATCAGAATGGGTTTATTGCCAGATGTTGAGGTTTACAACATTAGGAAATATCACTGTAAGCATTCCACGCCCATGTTTGTCTGTGTTTTTGGGTCCACTTTCCTGGGCAAACCTGTTGGTTCATGATACTTTCTGCTTCTTAATTCAGATCAAACTGAGGTTATTGTACTCTGCCTTAAAATCTTAGAAATATGGTGGCTAACCAGATTCTTCCTCTGGATGGCATTACCTTGGCCTCCAGTAACGCTGTGAGGAACCTTGGAGTCATGTTTGACCAGGACATGTCCTTCAATGCACATATTAAACAAATATGTCAGACTGCTTTCTTCCATTTGTGCAACATCTCTAAAGTTAGAAATATCCTGTCTCAGAGTGACGCTGAAAAACTAGTTCATGCATTTATTACTTCCAGGCTGGACGACTGTAATTCATTCTTATCAGGAAGTCCTAAAAACTCCCTGAAAAGCCTTCAGCTGATCCAAAATGCTGCAGCAAGAGTCCTGACAGGGACTAGAAAGAGAGAGCAGATTTCTCCTGTATTGGCTTCCTGTTAAATCCAGAATTCAAAATCCTGCTCCTCACATACAAGGTCTTAAATAATCAGGCCCATCTTATCTTAATGACCTTGTAGTACCATATCACCCTATTAGAGCACTTCGCTCTCGCTCTGCAGGCCTACTTGTTGTTCCTAGAGTATTTAAAAGTAGAATGGGAGGCAGAGCCTTCAGTTTTCAGGTCATATGATTGTTGGGTTTTCTCTGTATCTACTGTACAATATAAAGCGCCTTGAGGCGACTGTTGTTGACTGTGGTTCTTACCAGAGTAAGAATCTGGTTAGATACCATATTTCTAAGATTTTCAGATTAAAATCTGGTTGGCTGATGCCTGACAACACAGGAGGGGAATGTCATTGTAGGATTAGTAGAGCTTTATCCCTCCCTTCCTAAATTATATAGCTTTTGGCATTATAACTAATACTTTAAATGAATTGATTTTTATTTTACTCATGATACATCAATGTTGTTAGTTCAACTTACAGTCCTTGATGTCATAGCTGCTATCTTCTGGTTTTTGGAAATCCTCTGCAAAAACATAAAGAACTCAAGTTATCCTTCAACACTTAAATGTGGGAAATCTCTTGGTGTTACAGGAATGTGTCATGAGGTCTGATATGCCAAGTAATTAGTGTACTTGACTGAAATCAATTCATACCATCTCAATTAAGTTTAAAGATTGGACCCTGAGCCGGTGAGAAAAGACTAGAAGCAGATATTTTATCCCAAGTTGTTTTTGGTTGTTTTATGTATCGTATCAACTTGACCCCAATTTTAAAAAGTTCTGATCATCTTCAAAGATGGAGCAATATTCCACAGTAACATAACATCTTTTTTCTGCACATCCCAGTATCACTAACAATACCATGAATCTATTTCTTGTTCCTAAGTGGTCACTGGAGAAACTAAAGAAATCCGAATTTGGATTCCAAAACAAACCAAGAAAGTACCTCAGCATATCTCTGTCTCTGAGTGAAGTATTTACAAGCATGACTTCCTTAATCCAGCTTCTTTGTGTTTCTTGTTGTGGGCAAGAAGCCATTTTGTCAGGGGTTTTTGTTATCCTGTTTTCTTTTCGTACTTCGTGTGGGTGGACTAATTATACAATTCACCCTGGAGTGTGTGCCTGTGATAATCCACCTGTTCCTGATTGCCTGGTGGATCAGGGAGCTATTTAAGGTGCCTTCAAGCAGCTTTCAGTTATTTATTTTTTATTTACATTCATTCTTTCAGCAAGTGAAGCGACTGGAAATGAACGAGTAACTATATTGGCAGAACAGGGCGACATGTACTGTGAGCATGTTGGATATGTTTATCAGCCAACGTTGCTCCTAAAACCTGCAGCACAGTGTGATCATGGCAGTTGGATCCTGCTCCACCCTGCTGCTGCACCTGTTTGTTGTGTGCTCTCACTTCCAATACCTGAACAGATGTTACAGTTACTCTCTAAATCTATTCTCTGTGGACGGTGTGAGTGCAAAATCCTCACTGCTGATCAATAACATGTGAGTGGACTCACCAGCTGTTTTGGTTGCCATGATGTCGATTTTCTGAAAAGACCTGGGGATGAACTGGAAGGAAAAAAAAGTATTTTAGGTTCTTTGAATCACACGACATGTGATGGTAGGTGGACAAAGGGGCTGTAAGCATGAATGGTTCGAATGGAACGGCACAAAAAGAGAGAAGTTGTTATTGTGATATTGTTTTATGCAGTACTTCAGTTGGTCTCCGGTTGGTCACCATGTAGAGAATGTTTTATACAAACTGGGGGGTCAAGTGTAACCAATTACATTTAGACGATTAAGACATCATGAGTAACTGCAGAAAGAAGGTTCACATCTTTCACTTTCAATTTCAGTTTTCAAAGAAAAGTCTTTGTATAGACTGATCAACCAGATTTATCCTGAGCAA